TCTTCAAAGTCTCTTCATCTCTTTACCTTGGAGTCAGCCTACACTCACTTGAACAATCACCAAATTCTGAAAAATTCACCTGTCCAAACTAATGCAACAACCTCTTAATTGGTCTCTCTAACCCTGAACTTGGACTCTTACATCTATCTTCTATACGGTCTTCTATACCGTATACCGTTCTATATCGTAAAGTGTGATATATTGAAAATATAAATCTGCCTATGACACTCCCCTGATAAAAAGTTTTTAGTCATTTCTCTTGTCTGAAAGGATACAATTCATACACTACGTAATAGTATTCATAAGCTTCCTATTATGGCGGCGCACAAAACCATCCTCGATAAGGCCCTTTGTCATTCCTTTGGCCTCAATTCCTCACCTTGCACTATCTGTTCCAGTGACATCTAATTGCTGGAAGTTCTGATCTTATCAGGTTGTTTAGTTCTCCTGTGACTGTGCATGCGGTTTTCTCTGCCAATGAATCCCTTTTCCTCTCTGACTACTTTCCCCTCAGGCTTTCTGATTTTTTTTCTTCCGGATTTTTTCAGGGACCCATTCTTGATGGATCAGATGATAATTTTCTCTGCCCTCACGTAGTCCTACCAGACACAGTGCATTGGAACAACAGGCTAAAAATTCTTAGATACAGGGATATTGTAACTCCAGTTTCCAACACCTGGCACATAGTCATAGCACAGGTTAATGTGAATTCGTTCAGAATTAGTGATCAAAAAATATTCACCTGTTTATTTTATTATGGTGGTACATACTCGCGATCTCTATGCCATATAACTATTTGTAATATTCCATACTCACCATATTTATGGGATCCACTGGTCCAATGCTGTTTACATAAACATCAGTTTCAATGACCGTGGGCCTCACTGCAAAATACCAACACAAAGAATGGTCAAACATATAATCAGAGGTTGTTTTAAATAAATTTTAGTTTTAAATAAATCTTAATAACTAATGATATTTTACCATTTCCATCATAAAACATTCTTTATTATGAAGCACAGAAACATGGCCCATTACAAATGCCTTTCAGTTTTTAAATCTATCATATAACTAAAAATTAATGTTTTTAATGAAAAAATTCCAGTGGACTTCCTAAAAATATTTAAAATATCTAAATCATCCACTAAAATTAAGGAAGTTAATTCAGTAAAAATTGCTAGATAATTTGTTCTGAAATAGTGACAGATTTTAGGATTGGAGTGGATTTTAGGTAATACGTACTTCTACTTAGTGCTTACCAGTAGTACGCTGGCAAATGTTTAATGACCTTGCTCTCAGAGAGAGGGGATAAACCCCTGATTTGTTGCTTTTGTTGATTTCTATGTTGTAAATACTCCCACAATGGCTGATATAAATACATCATTGTGGAATCATGGAATGCAGAGGCTATATATAATATTAGTATATATTATATGTTACTTAATAAGAGGCTATTATGAGCCTATATGAGCCAGTTTCAGCACATACTGGGATTTGAAGTAAAATTATGAGGATTAAAGGACGTAATGTATGTTAAGAAACTACCTCCAGGTCTGACTCATATGAGGAGCTTAATACATTATCTGTCCATGTCTCCTTCCTTCCACCCTTATGAATAATGTTCCTTTAGGTTCTTTGTAGTTGGATCCAGGGTAAGGCATGTTTTTACCTAATTCCCACAGAGTATATCATGTGGACATCACTATAGACCTTATCAATTGTGTTTTGTATGTAACCATTCGTGTTTTTCCAGTTAATTTTTAAATAACACATAATGATATTTTTGTTCTATTAAAATGTTTATCACTGGTAAGCCTTTTGAATGTTTACCAAATAATATAATTAGCAAATATCTACAGGAGTGTGATATCTGATCATGATTTAG